ATTTTTCCACTCTTCCACTCATATTTTCTACTGGAATTTTGTACTTTTGTCCAAGTTTTCAGTAACCTGGAAAGATTTTGTAACTTGTTTAGCAACCTGTTTTCATTCCACTCACTCATTAAACCTCATCTTACCACATCACATCCTGTTTGCAATTGATTCTGAACAATAAGGCTTGCTGCACCTCCCCAGTACTGGTTCCTGGTACTGCCAACGCAGGCGAAGAAAACGTCTTTGGAGTGTCGAAGACAGCTTGTACTGTTCTGGCCTACAACAAGAGGAAAGTATCCACCAAACTGTAGAGGAATACACAATTCTGTTACTGATCCCTGAACCACCAATAAAAGGTAGGAAAGGGGTCAGTTTGGCTCATAACACGTATATGTCAATTTCATCTGTCCTAAAATGTGAGTGCCGCTATCTACATGCCCTTTCTACAGTATGAACAAAGCCACAGCCACACAGAGTTGCTAGACCACGATGAGCTACTAGAAACTTTCCATATTTAACATCAGAGTATTCACAGTCACACCATCCTCCTGTTCTTCCTATGAACCACAATGAATCCAGCTAAACCTTTAGGGTGCCCTCCAGACAGTCCAAGCATCTGTCATAGGGTGGATTATTAAAAGTGAAAATTGCTCACCTACAAGATAACTTCTTGACGATGCTCGATTCTTTCTTTTTCCTGATCTGCAGGGAGAAGTTTCAGATAGCATACCTGTTTCCAGCTGTCTTAATCAAAAGGGATGGCAGTTTATCAGATGTGAGTTGCCAAATATCTACTGATGGTCAAACTTATATTCCCTTCGCAATTTTTACCGGTGGCATTGATTAGGTAAGATCCCTACTGCCTCTTAATTCAATCCATTGCCCACTACCTGAAAACAGACATCAACTTTCGGGTCAACTTAAAGGAAAAAATAACTGTTCAATGTACCTGTATTCATGTGATAAGCACAACGCTCACCAATACCATACAATACAAGTTCTACATTTAACAGTCCCACTTATGTATTATTGTTACAATTTCAGTGTAATAGCACACGTATCCACGACCTAATATTAGAATTCTGTTAGTACATTTTGGAGCTTAGTTTTACCAGGAATTGGTTTCCTTGTTTTTCATGGAAAAGTCTTAGCCAAATCAAGAAATGAACCTTTGTAATCCAAATTTGTATGCTGCTTTACAGTGAGAAATGGCACGTGAAATTTCTGCAGAAAAGGCAAAAGGCTTGGGTTGCCCTGTAATGAAAGCAAAAAAGAAAGGGGAAGCTTATAAAATGGAACAATGCAATGGTGCTCAGAAATGTCCTTAAATATGATAGCTGAGATGAGAAAGAGGGGAACCCCTGTAAAAGTGCAGTTTTCCAGAAAAGGACCCTTCTTTTTGTGACAATCAGGACAATCAGATGGGAACAAGGGAGGCCAACAAGTCTTCTCTCCTACCAGAAGAGGACGTTCTACCTTTATTTGAGTACTTGCTCTGTGGGAGAAGCCAGCTCTGTGAGAAACCACATAAGATGATGCACACATCCAGGACCACAGGAGGGTGTTTGAGTCCTTTTCATCTCCCTTGAATGTTAGGTTGGGAAATGCCAGGATAGGCCTTCCCATTTTCTCTTGCCCAAAATCCACATCCCTCCCAAATAAATCTCAGCTTTTGCTTGGAGTCTTATCCACATCCTCAAAAAACTTTATGCAGACATGATCCTTACCGAAGCAAGGGTCCTGAGGTGGTTCATTCTTGGTATAAGCAACTACTCCTCTGTTGAGAGGCAGCACATTGAGGGGAAAAGAGTAAAAGGAAATACATTATACTAGTACAATGAATACTGACTTATCACAAAATAAATATTCCCCATATGTATATGTGTGTGTATATGTATGGATGTATGTTAATAGCACATGTCACACAAGGTTACACTTGGGGATTATTTTTCCTCCTACTCAGTATTTTCCTGCTATTTTCCTTAGAGACCAGCCACTTAATATTTTGGATTATGGAGTCTGTTGTAGATACAGCTACATTACAGCTAGGACAAAGACACACACTTTATGTAAATTGAGAGCTAAATCTGAACTTTCTGAAAGTTTGAGATGTTAGCATATACGGGTTTTTTTAAAAGGCTTTATTATTCCAAGATCAGGGCCAGCTGCAAAGATTGGATTCACATCCAAAAACATATATTAAAATGCATACACTTCTTGATAGAAAGAAGTTTTAAAACCTGTCAGCTGAGAACAACACTCTTTTTGTGTGCTGCCTGACAATTCAGTTACAGATCGACCCTATTGTTTTTTGGGTAATTTAAATGTGATTGTTGGCAAAGCAGAAAGGGGTGGGGGAGACATACAGGGAGGCACACAGTGAGAAAGAAGAAAGCATTTCTGATTATACAATATATCCCTGACATGTTGTTACACACAAACCCAATATTTAGCATTTAAAAAAGAAGAAGAAGAAAAAAAAGAAAAACAATAAAAGAAACAGCAGCTGTTTCTATGTGATGTCAGAGAACAGGTGTGATACAAATCTCCATACCAGCGCAATCATATTGATCTCCTGATGATGCACGCATGAAGCACATGTGCAAACGTTATCGACCCATCCGGCATCTCATTTCCAGGAATACGGCCTGAAAATGCCTCGCTATAATTGAAAACATGATCAGGATAAACACCGTATTGGCCAATTATTAAAAAAAAAAAAAAAAAAAAAAAACACCCCAAAAACGAGAAAAGAAAAGGGAACCCGC